ATTTGGAAATCCAAAATCTCTGTAAATGTTTCTGAAAATTAATAAAAATGGGGGGAAAGAAAAAATACCTTTGAGGGAGGGAGGAAAATGTAAAATGATGAATGATTAAAAAATATTAAAAATATTTGAGTGAAAACTTACATTGGTTTTTTTTCTGACAGTCATTTATGCATATTAATTACTACTGATTGTTGTAATTAACTTATTAAAACGTCTAAGCAAACCCTTATAGAATCACCTTCTCTTATATTGTATAAATGAATAAGGATGGTCAAAGAACTGATGCCTTTGGAGTGTGGTGTTGGAGAAGAGTACTGAATATACCGTGGACTGTCAAAAGGACAAACAGCTATGTCTCAGAACAAGGGCAGCCAAGGTGCTCCTTCTCAGAGGCAAGGGTGATGAAGCTTCATCTCACGTACTTTGGTCATGTTGTCAGGAGGGGCCAGCCCTTGGGAAAAGATGGCATACTGGGAAAGGAGGATGGTCAGAGAAAGAGGAAGACCTTTCACAGGAGGAATGACTGTAACAATGGACTCAAGCAAGTTCAAGACCATGAGGATGGCACAGGTGAGGACAAGGGTCAGATCCGTTGTTCATAGTGTTGTTATTAATCATAGTCGACTTGATGGCACATAACAACATGCATGCGTAACTGTATATGTGTAGCGTCTCTGGCAGTTCAAATCCCCTAGTAGCTCCATGGGAGAAAGATGGGCAGTCTCCTCCCGTGCAGTTTACAGCCTCTGAAAACCCACTTGGAGGGTCAGCTATGAATCAGTTTCAACTCAGTTTCAATAGCCTCATGGCTGTCGACTGCTTCCTGCATCCATCCCACTTTGGATGGCGGCCGTGAAGCTTCTAACGGGTGCTCTTCCTGCCAGCACTGATGTGAACAGTTCGGCTGCCATCCTGGTGCATTTCCTGACTCTTTCCCAGGCACACGATGAGGGGAGGAGCTGCCAGGTTGTGGGCAAGCACACTCCCTGCCTTCCTCCATGATTCCAGTTTCCCTCCGTGGTCGTGGTGGTGCTGGTCCTTCTCCACCAGCAGTGTGGAGCAACCCCGTTACCCGTGTCCTCACCATCCCTGGGAATGGTGTGGCACAAGGCATCTCCTCCTTGGTAGCACGGGAATCAGGGGTCCTTGGGGCAGGAACCTCCCCAGAGTGGTGGGGGAAGGTCCCAAGGTGTCATTCGTTCCCACTTATTTGTGAATCCCAGACCTGCAAGATGCTGTGGGCATCTCCTTCCTGTCTGGAAGTTGCCTTTCTAAGCCACACATGGACTTTCTGTCAGATCCTTTGGGGGGAAAAATGAACACCAGTCCTAGCTCAGTCACACAGTCACCACAACAAAACAGCCATCAGCCCTCAGCGCTGCAGTTCACACACCTCCAGAGGGGCTGTCAACAAGGTGGGGCAAGGTGCGGCGAGGTACTTCACATGTCAGAAACTAGGTGTTGACACAGTCCATATATGCAGCTCGAAACCAACAAGGGCCACAGCTGGACACTGGTGTGTTTCCGAGAGCTGGGCACAAGGGGCACCATCGTAGGCCAGGCCCTAGACACTGTCACAGGTCCTGCCTGGCCACCAGGAAGATTCCCAGCAGCAGGATTCCTTCCTGGTCCTGGTTGGGTCCTTCCATGGCCAGGTCACTTCCCCAGAGTCCTGTTACCTAAAATATGACACCCCCAGTCCCTGACCCTGGGGCAGATGCCTGCTCCCTACTGCACTGAATGAACAAACCAGTTCTAGAATCCTCCCACGGCAGAGATTCTGTCCCATCCTTCTCTCCTATCCCCTTTTGAGGACCAGTAAGGGCTGAGCATCTTCTTGCAATGTCTAGTGGGTTTGGGTGTGAGAGGGGCCTCCCCTCGTCTGAGTACTTTCCTGCCAGGCATGGGAACAGTCCTGGAGGTAGGGAGGGCTCTGGGACGTGGGGGAGAGGCAGGAGGGAGCTACCTGAGTGCGTGTGTCAGTGACCCTGTGCCTGAGGGGCTCCAGTGTCCCTCTCCTGATAGGCATGCTCTCACCAGACTGTGTGAGGTGCGATCTGATGTGCTGGGAAACCATGAACACAGCCCAGAAGAGCTTTATTAAGAATGGGGCCACAAACAAACATCCATGGAACAGGTGGGCTTATTTGAGAGGCGACTCTTAGAACTGGAGCTTGTGATAATGAGGGTGACAGTGATGATTTGTGCTGGGCCGCGTTCAGACGACTTTACAAATGTTAACATTATCCCCATGGCAAAGTATGAAATCCAGGTCCAGACACGGCTGGTGATGTCAGGGACGGAGTCCGCACTCAACACCAGACTTCAGTAGACTTTTTTTTTGAGAGTGAAAAGCTTAGCTAAGCTCCCCTGTCGAATCATCACAAATTATCCTGGGTTTCCTGCCGGCTTCCAGTTCTGCCAATTGCCAGATGATGCGCTGGGGGTGGCATCTATGAATGAGGACCTGCTCTCCAACTCAAGAACTTAGGCTTTCCTCTCCCAGAACAAGGCAACACTGAGCAGATGAAGGAATGGATGAAGAACGATGGTTTCCCTCTACTGCAAGTGGGCTTCCCTGCCCTCAGGTATCAGTAACATTTCAGGGTCTAAAAGTACTGTTCCACATAGTGAATGACCACTAGGCCTAGAATGATATGGAGATGGTCATGGAATTCTGACTTAATAGGGACACAGAGATGAGTCTTCATGTCTTCCCATAACCATATGTGAGGGCATGAGGTAACCTCAGAGTACGTAAGTGGTGAGGCCTCTCAGCTCTGAGCTTTTAAGTCAGGGTAGAAGCAGACTTCGGTAAAACAGTTTGAGCCACAGTGTCTGACTTTACCTGGCTATATGGAATGGTGTCATGGTGTCTATGAAGAAGATTGTGGTGGTGGTGGTGGTGGAATGTGCCCTTGAATTGGAATTGACCCTTGGATGACCCTCCAGTGGGTTTTCGGAGGCAGTTAATCACATGGGAAGAGATTTCTCATCTTTCTCCTGCAAAGCAGCTGGTGGTAGGTACATCCTAGTAAAAGTGGGAGAGGCATCTGGCCTCCTCTAACTTCACAGCATTGGTCATTGAAGGTCAATTGCTCTGACCAATCAAGCTTCCACACTCCAAACCTATCAATGTTCATATCTACTGTCCTTCCCACAGCATTCCCTCTTCTCCACTGGGTTTGAAATGCATTGCAATGGCTGCACAAAACTTAAAGATGATTCTCACAGTTACAAGGTTTATCAGGATTGCAATTTAGGATGAGGAACAACTCAGGATATAGCTCTTCAGTCAGGACAGCCTCTCTCCTCAGTCATGCCCAGAGGCTTACCTCTCTCTGGCTTTCCACCTCTTTGGTTTTGGCCTTGACCTCTGCACTGCTCAAGCAGGTGTTATTAAACTTTTAGCTTTGCCAGTATGAATGATCCCCCAAATACCCTGCTCCACTAGACCAGCCCAGGCCAGAGGGCACTAGGCTCTTGCTCTATGAATCAATAAACCTAGCTCCTGGCAAATGCCTAAAAAGACTGCCAACAGCAAGCCCAATGATGTAGGGTACTGTTTCCTCCCTCTGGGGGCTGCAGAGTCAACATCACTCTCTGCCACTTTCCCACCTCTGTTGACGTCACTCCAGTGTTAGAGCTCTCTGTCTTCTGAATGGAGGAGATTTCACTGCCAAGGTGTTAGAGTCCAAAGGACACATGGATTCCTGACTCTTTCTTCTTGATGACGGTGGAGTCCTCCTTTCCGTTCTCTGTGAAGGCTCATATTAAAACTGACGATATACTTTGCTGTCATGGCCCAACCCCACAAAGGAAGCTCTGGTGGTTCTGCTAATCAAAAGGTGATGCCTCTCAAACAACTATGAGATCTCATCTCACCCCAGTCAGAATAGCAAAGTTTAACAGAACAGCAAGAAACAAATGCTGGCGAGGTTGTGGAGAAACTGGAACCCTTATTCATTGTTGATGGGAGTGTAAACTGGTGCAGCCACTGTGGAAGGCAGTATGGCGCTTTCTCAAAAATTTGCAAATAGAGATACCATTTGACCCAGCAATTCCACTACTGGGAATACACCCCAAGGAGACCATAACTGACATCCAAGCAGATATATGCACACCCATGTTTATTGCAGCTTTGTTCACAATAGCAAGGAGTTGGAAACAACCTAAGTGCCCATCAACAAATGAATGGATAGAGAAGCTGTGGTATATTCACACAATGGAATACTATGCTGCATTGAAAAACAAGGAACTCATGCAATATTATTCAAAATGGGTGACCCTGGAGGACGTTATGCTGAGTGAAGTATCTCAGTCACAAAAGGACAAATACTGCATGGCACCACTGTTGTAAAACAGGGTTGACCTCAGGGTTGGGGGGAGACTGAGAAAGATGTGTTCAATAATGTATACTGCATTGAAACAGATGAGGGAGAAATCTGTTTAAAAGGGATATGTGATTAAGTATTTTTGTCATGACGGGAGTCCAGAGCGAAGGCCCTGGGGGGAGTGATTGTAAACAATGAAAGAATTTTTCTTTTACTTTTCCAAGAGCGTAGTGTACTGGGGTGGGGGGAGGGTTGGGAAGGGAGAAAAGTGCAACAATGAATGAATGGAAATCCAAAGTCTCTGTAAATTTTCATTGAAATGAATAATAAATTTAAAAAATTAATTGGGGGGGGGAAGGCGCTGCCTTCCTAGTGGTTCGAATCTACCCACTGCTCCTGGGGAGAAAAATGCACAGTCTCCTCTATGAGTTATAGCCTCAGAAAACCCTCCAGAGGGTCAGTTATGAGTTGGTTCCTACTCGGCGGCAGTGAGTTTTATGAGTCCCACAGAATTTCCATTTATCTTCTTTAAGTACGAGCAAGCTATCCAATCACCTTGGTGGGCCACAAGCACCTCACCTGTGCATAGCCCAGCCCAGCCATGTGATGAGAATTAAAGGAACTATGACTGAGGAGCTCTGGTGGCTTAGCGGTAAGGAGTTGCGCTGCCAATCCAGAGGAACATGGTTTGAATCCACCCTCAGCTCCGCAGGAGAAAGATGGGTAATCTCCTCCTGTGTGATTAATTCTCAAAACTTGTTGGACGATCAGCTAGGAGTTGGTTCAGACTCAAAGGTACAAAGCAATAATAACCGTGATTGGAGGAGCAAGGCACAGACATGGTCTGGATGAAGCCGGAGTTGAGGCTGTATGGTGTGACATCCTGGCCTCATCAAACTCCACCTCTTATGCCAGGGTGAAGACAGTCCCTCTGTTGAAATCTCACCCCCCCAGTCACCTGTTTGGATCAACCTCTGGGCCTGGGATTGGTCCTTGGTGAGGGCTCAGCTCTGTCTAGCCCCTACTTGAACACTTGATTTTCTGTAAATGGGGGTGCCAACTCTTTCTGGGTCTTTATTAGCTGGTTTCAGGGTGGTGGGAGATGCTCTTCTCCACATGTGACTCCCTGTGACCAGGCTGGACAGTGGCTTTGCCTTGAGGGTCTGCTGTGTGCAGGGCTCTGATGGTTACCTGGGGCTAGCATCTCCCCCCGCCTCCCTTCTTTTTCCCCAGTGCCCTTCATCAGGGTCTGTGGCCACACCAACGTCACCCGCAGAGTGGTGGAGGGGAAGTTGGTGGAGGAGGGCAAGTGGCCCTGGCAGGTGAGCATCCTGTTCATGGGTGTGTATGCCTGTAGCGGCTCCCTCTTCCATGAGCAGTGGATCCTCACGGCTGCGCACTGCTTGCAAAGGTCAGTCTGCGTGGCCAGCCAGGCTGAGGGCACGGCCTTCTACTGAGAGACGGAGGGGGTGGGGGTGTAAGGGTATTTGGAGAAGCCAGGGCTCTGGAAGGAGGGGGCTTGGTTGACCCTCTACAACCATGTCCAGCTGCCCTGGTGACAGTCCATGTCTCCAATGGTGACTCTGCAGATCCAGGAATGAAAGTGAATACACAGTGATAACGACGGGAAGCCAGATCTTCACCCAGAACGACACTCAGCTCCGGGTCAGTGCCGTCGTGATCCACAAGAACTTCAGCAACTTTGTGTCCAGGGATATTGCGCTCCTGAAGCTCCAGGACCCTGTCTCCTGGTCTCACAAGATCCAGCCTGTCTGCCTCCCCTCGGGCCAGTATAAGCCAGAGCTCGGCTCCCTGTGCTGGGTGACGAGGTGGGGACGAGAGAAGAAACAGGGTGAGTGGAGGCTGAGATGCTGGCCCATTCTGGGCTGCAGCGATCACCCAGCCCGTTGACATTTCCTCAGCATTGCTGTGCTGGGCACTGCCGGGCCTCTGTAGATATGCAGATGTGCGTGGACCTTGACTCCCAAAGTCTAGATAAACCCAGTGCCAGTCCCCTACCCTGCAATGCTGGCAATGAATGTTGATATTGTGCCCACGAAATGCCCCTCAAAGAAATCCAAAAACACGTCTGACATTTCAAGAGCGTTTATTACTTAATTTTCCACGCGTGGAGGCTTTCCCCTTCCCCAGGAAGGTGGTGACGGAAAAAAGCCCCGCGTTTTCCCTCCCACTTGCTTTTATAGCTCTTTTGAGTGGCCCTGTTAGGGCAGGGGGGTTACGATCTTGGTTGGCGGGTTGACTTTTGATGGACTGGCTACTTTGTCCGCTTTTACTTCTTTTGTGTCACGTAGACACTAGTTAATTCCTTACTTTTTCAAGGACAGACTAGACTTTACCCGGGGCACTCGTGTTTGCCCTAAGCCAAGAATTTTTATGGCCCGCTTCTGCCTCCAGCGCTAATGGGGGTTTATAAAAAATGGGGTTTCTGCTGCCCCTTCAGTTGACATTACTGGGTTTCCTGTCTGTGGTCTGTACCGGTCTGAGGAAGCACTGAGCTATGGTACACACTGATTCGTGTAAGGCACCCGTAATTCCTGAGGACATGGCCCCTGATGCTTCCACCCTGGGGGTCTAGACCTGGGATTCTTTGTGGGGTCTGGCCAGGTGGTAAGTCGCCCTGAAATCTTGCTGTCTTGCAGAGCTGCCACAAAACAGTGCTAAGCCACCCTGCCTTTAAGAAATCTCCAATTATGCAGCAGTCTCCCTTTGGCCCCCATTTGGTACCTAGATGTCTCCAACTCCCTGGAAGACCTTTCCTTAGTCTCTCTAATGAGCTGGAAGGGTCAAAAAAGCAAGGGAAGAACCTCAGTGAGACAGATTGAGATAGTGGCTGTGGCAATGGCCTCAAGCGTATGGAGGATGATAAAGATGGCGCAGGACAGGACAGGGTTCAAATCTGTGGTCCACAGAATCACTGCGGGTCATACACGACTCAACAGCGCCCAAAACCAACGAGGTGGGGCTTTAACAAAGTCAGGCTGTGGGCAGAGGCCTTTATGAATTACCATCACAGGACACGGCAGGTTAGTCTCACAGGGGCAAATTCAGGCTATGTGAAGAAGGAGGTGGACGAGTGAGTCGCAAGTGTGCCCAGGCTGGATCTGTCTTCCCTCAGGGACCAAAAGAAACGCTTCCTACAGTCTTCAGGAGATAGCTGTCAAGATCATCAAGAACAATGTCTGCAACCAGAAATATCATTTCCTCCTCACGGAGGACCAGGAACACTTCCTCGGGGAGGACATGCTGTGTGGCAGCTCACAGCAGGGTGTAGAATCTTGTCAGGTGTGGAGTGTGGGGAGGGAGGCCTGGGGTGTGGGGGGTGTGGGGGTGTGGGAGGAGGCCTGTCTTACTGTGTTGCCACTGGGACGCCTTCCTCTCCCAGGACCTCAGTTTCCTAGGTGGTAAAACGGGGGTGAAAATACCCTTTAGCACATCCACAATGATGGTGATAAGGTAAAGCGTCTCAGGCCATTTTAACAAGTGTGGATGTGCACTCCTATCTGGGCCAGATGGCGGCAGCGACAGCTTTGCGTCAAAGGCATCGTGGTCTAAACCTGCATCTGCCGCTTGAATCTTCCTTTCAACACTACCTATTTTATGTTTATTCAGCTCGAGGCATGCAGCTTGAATTCAATAATGAGCAGCTCTAAATAGTCTCTTTTGTAAATACACCCCAAATGGATCCATTCTGTTGGTTAGAAGTGTTGAGGGAGTTTTCCATTTTCTCCGAAACCCTGCTGCTTTGAACAGCCTCACACCTGTTTCCCTGTTTCTAGTGTTCCAGGGTTTCCAGCAGGATGCATCCTGCATGGAGTTGGAGAGTCATAAGTGACACAGACCATCATCTTTAAAAGAAATAGTTGCCATCAAGTTGATGGCAAGTTGACGCTCATGGAGACCGACTCCACGTGTGTCAGAATAGAACTGAGCTTCGTGTTGTTGTTTTTGTTAGATGCTGTTGAGTCGACTGTGACTCATGGCAACACTATGAACAACAGAGCTGAGCCCTGCCCTGTCCTGCACCACACCCACAATCTCTGATGCATCTGAGCCCTTTGTTAGAGTCCTGTGTTACTCCGCCTTGTTGAAATTCTTCCTCTCCTTTGCCAACCCTCCGCCTTTCCCAGCAGGATGTCTTTTTCCAAGGACTGGTCCCTCCTGGTAACATGCCCAAAGTATGTGGGACCAAGTTTCACTATCTTTGCCTTTAAGGTTGTGCTTCCTCCAAGATAGATGTGTGTGTGTTCTTTTGGCAGTCTGTGAGATAGTACTTTTCTCCAACCCCACAGTTCAAAGGCACCCATTCTTCTTTGGTCATCCTTATTCATTATCCAACTTTGAGGTGCATGGAAGTCAATTAAAAAGCCTGTGGGTTACATCAGGCACACCTTAGTCTTTAAATGGTCGTCCTCACTCTTTGGCGTTTTGGAGAGGAGTGTTTCTTAACAGAAGATTTCCCTAGTGTAACATGTCTATTACTAATATCACACACTAGCAAAATCCTGCTGAAGATTATCCAGAAATGACTTGAACAATACATTGACAGAGAACTACCAGAAATACAGGCTGGGTTTAGAAGAGGTCGTGGCACTAGGAACATTACTGCCAATGTCAGATGGATCTTGGCAGAAAGCAGAGAGTACCAGAAGAATGACTATCTGTGTTTCATTGACTATGCAAAGGCATTTGGCTGTGTGGATCACAATAAATTGTGGGTAACCTTGAGGAAAATGAGAATCTCAGAAATCTTGATCATGCTTATACAAAACCTATAATTAGACCAAGAAGCAGTCCCCAGAACGGAGCAAGGAAACATTGCATGGTTCAAAATCAGGAAAGGTGTGTGTCAGGGATGCATCCTGTTCCCATATATTTTCAATGTGTGTGCAGAACATATCATTTGGGAAGCAGGGCTTTATGAGGAGGACTGTGATATCAGGATTAGAGGACGACTCATCAACAACATACAATATGCAGATGACACAACCTTGCTTGCTGAATCTAAGGAGGACCTGAAGCACTTGCTGCAAAAGGTCAAGGACTGTAGTCTTCAATATGGATTGAAGCTCAACATCAAGAAGACAAAGATTCTCACCACTGGGCCAATTGGCAGCATCATATTAGATGCAGAAGAGATTGAGGTTGTTAGCAATTACAGCTTGCTCAGATCCACAATCAACACTCCTAACACCAGCAGTCAGGAAATCAAAAGATGAATTGCATTGGGAAAAATCTACTGTTATGGACCTCTCCAGAGTGCTGAAGAGCAATGATGTCAGTTTAGGTACAAAGGTGTGGCTAATCCAGACCATGGTCTTCTCAGTTATGTGTTATGCTTCAGAGAGTTGGACAATGATGAAGGATGACAGTAAACAAATAGATGCCTTTGAGTTGTAGTGCTGGAGAAGAGTCTTGAACATACCATGGACTGCCAAGAAAACAAATAGCTCTGTCTTAGAGAGGGTGAAACCAAATCTATCCTTGGGGGCTAGGATTTTGAAGCTCTGCCTCACTTACTTTGGGCATGTGGCCAGGAGAGATTGGTGCTTGGAGAAGGACATCACGCTTGGAAGGGTGGAGGGACAGCACAGGAGAGGAAGACCCCGGATGAGATGGATTGATACAGTGACTGGGGCAATGGGGGTTGATGTGTTGACTGGCTCAGGACAAGGAAGAGTTCAGAGCTGCTGTACACAGGGTAGCTATGCCTTGCAGGCGAACTCAACCAATAGCATTCTATCACAGGTGTTGAAGCAGGAGTGGCATCCACTTCCTAAACAACATGCCTGTGGAAACTCTTTGAACTTGGATAAATTTTGGTAGTTATAGAGGGGCTTCAGGCCTTTTGTTCAAAGCGTCACTATGAGTCATGCTCAACTTAAAGCCAATCAACAATAACAACAGCATGTCTTTTGATTTCTTGACTGCTATTACCATGGGTCTTGATTTGGATCCAAGTAAAGTGAAACGACAACTTCAACGTTTTCTCCATTTATCATGGTGTTGCCTGTTAGTCCAAAGGTGAGAATTTTTGTTTTCTTGATGCTGGGATGCAGATGCATTCCATAGTCTTTTCTCTTCAGTAAGTGCTTCAAGTCTCCACTTTCTACAAACAAGGTTGTATCATCTGCATAGCACAGGTTGTTGATGAATTGTCCTCCAAACCTGATGTCACATTCTTGTTCATCTAGTTCAGCTTCTCAAAGAATTTTCTCACAGGGATATGAAAAGAACACACACACCTTGACACAGCTTTCCTGGTTGAAAACCATGCAGTGTTCCCACTGCACAAAAAAGATGAAACCAACACAATATGGGAATTGTCAAACACCATCATTAATATCCCATGCAGGTAAAATCTTCCTGAACTTTTAGTAACTCTCTGGTAATAATCTTTCTCTTATGAGTCAAACTGTTATTTAGTTAGAACGTTATTACTTCCTACTTGAGTAGTTTGGGTTCAAGATTTATAAACAATCTTAGAGCGGAGAGTCTAGTTTCAGTTGGTCCAGTAAATCTGGACATTTTAAGAATTTAATTTCTGTTCCTTTTTTTCGCCTTCTAGCTGATCAGACTGGTCATTAGCGGCAGCTGGTGGTGGTTCTTCTGGTCCTGGGGTAGATGAAGCTGTGGTTTTTGTAGCTTGTTAGTCCTGTAGACTTGTTTATTCTTTGTGTTACAATTTTCTGTTTGTCTTTATCTTTGGCCCCTGACAAGGAAAGATGGATAGTTTTTATGTTGACTACAATATGATTTTAGTCTGCAGTCCTCAGGCCTGGTTTTAATTGTTTTTGATCAAACATTCTTCTAAGTGGTATAGCACTGGTCTGTCCATTTGCTGTACAAAGGTAACTTGTGGTTGTTGTAATGCTGATCACTAAGACACTGATGTGTCAAATGTGAGAATGGTTACCCATGGTGGACAGTGTTTGGTGGAGCTCCCCGATTAAACCAAACTTGGAAGCAAGAGTGGCATCCACTTCCGAAATAGCTTGCCTCTGGAAACCCTGTGAACCTGGAGAAATGAAGAAAGTTATACAAGTGTTTAGGTCTTTCATTCATAGGATTGCTATGAGTTGTAAATGACTTGATGACACTTAACAACAACAATATATAATTATTGTTTTTGTAAGCTTTTAAGACCTCAGTAGCTGCTTGCCACTCAAGGATGCAGAACAGAAACCTGTGGGCTCCATTCTGCCAACTGCCCTGGTGATCTCCCAAGATTATGGTCCTATGTCTTCAAACTCAGGAAGTCAATCCTGTGCAATATTTGTTTCTATCTAAGAAGTATTGATCATTGTGCCCCTATGTGTTGTATTACATAGATGAACACACACACATGCCAACATACACAAGGTATTCACACCTCACAATCTCACACCTGTGCACATATGGCTTAATGGTAAGGAATTGTGTTGCCAACCCAAAAGTATGTGGTTCGAATCCATCAGCTTCTTTGTGGAAGAAAGATGGGCAATTTCCTCCTATGTGATTTACAACCTCTGAAAACTCACTGGAGGGTCAGCTATGAGTTGATTCTGACTTAACAGTACTCAGTAACAACGAAAGTACACATGTGAGGGAGCTCTGGTGGCCTGGTGGTAAGGAGTTGCTGCCAACCCAGAGGCAGGTAGTTCAAATTCACCGGTTGCTCTGAGGGAGAAAGATGGGCAATCTCATCCCACGAAATTTGTTGTTGTTGAGTACAAGCCGTCAAGCCATCCCATGAGATTTATAGCCTCTGAAAACCCACTGGAGGATCAGCTATGAGTCAGTTCCAACTCGACAGCACACACCACCACCATCATTGCACATATGTTTTTGCATATATATATATTTGTTGGCTGTTATTGCAACTTCATATATTTTCTAACATTTGCCAAATATGAGCTGTGTGTTTGCTTCTTAAATGACATTATAGACCTAGATCAGGCTATTCACATTTCACATTTCAGTGTGGCCTCTCCTATCATCAAAAATAACAAGTCTCGTAGGGAGCTCTGGTGGCCTAGTGGCAAGAAGCTGCACTGCAATCCTGAAGGCGCGTGGTTTGAATCCACCAGATGCTTTGCTGGGGAAGGTGGGGCAATTTCCTCCTGTGCCAGTCAGATCCAATTGGATGGTACAAAACAAGGAGGGGGGGGGTGATAAATCACCAAACCCAAAACAAACAAAAAACCAAGTCTCATATACTTTGGGCATATTGTCAGGAGGGATCAGTTCTTGGAAAAGGACACCATGTCTTGCAAAGATGGAAGACCAGACAGAGAGGGGATGAC